CTATAAATCATTTATATTCATTCTTTTCCCGAAAAAATTCGATCGTTAATAATGAAGAACTCATATTCTAATTCTTCTTCTGCTTTTATAGATATTACGAAAGGGCTTTTAGGACCTAATTATTCTACTGAAACAAGATCGTATTACACGTGTTGGCACATACTGTTATCAGTAATGTTTTATGAACTTCCACATTTACTTGTCACAGAAGAGGAATGGCTCTTGTCATATGAAGCTTGTCGTAAACTATGCTCGATTTTCTCATTGGAGGAGAAATGTGAAGACTAATTACCAGAAGAATCCATATTCATAGTTTTCGATTGTCGCAATACTTGAGATAACCAATCTTCGGCTTCGTCGTACCTAATGAAGGAAATAAAAGCAGAGATTTTTGCATGTTTTCCATGAAAAATTACTTCTGGATTATTTAACCGACGATCTGTATGCTTCCATAGAATGCCGACGTCCTCTTCGTGAAGACAAATGGCGTTTTTGATCACCAAGAGTTCTCCACGACTGGTACACATATTTGCATCGAAATATTTTATGTAACCAAGACAATCACAGCCAAGTTCCAGACTATTCGTGCAACACCCTAAACCGTATTCACCACAATCGAATGCATTTTTTCTCGCTTGTTGTTCAGCTGGATCACCATAGGGAACAACCATTTCACTTAGTGCAGCTCGGTACAATACTGAACGGTTGTCGTAGGTCAAATGATGAAGAACTAAACCTTGTCGCATAGTAAAACCGATAACAAATGACCATTTTTGCCATGATACTTGATAACCATTGATCTGAAAGCTTGGACCTTCAGGTTGAACGATTTCTAACGGTCGAATATCAGTACGAACTTTCGACACTTGATCCGATGTATATTCACAGCTAATATACGGAATGGGATAATGATTGTAAATCTCAATACGAATAACTTCCACTATTCGAAGCAAAAGGCACAATATTTGTTTAATTCAAATCTTTGTACTCACTTAAATTGAGATCGACTACAGGCCGTAAGCCTTCAATTGGATGTGTATATCCATTATCATTCGGATGAGATCGAACGAAACACAATGGTCTTGCTAGACGACGTGTACGTTCTTCTTCTTCTCCATAGTACCCACTTGACCATATGTCGACCATCACTCGACTGACATCATCGATACCATAATGTTCACGTATCAATTCTTGAAATTGAACTGATCGAAGTACTGCTTGTTCACATTCAACTTGTTCATCGACAGTCATCGTCGCTTGGACATTTGCAATGTGTTCCAGTGATATAAGTTGACCTTCGTTTTCCAGCTTGACTCGTGCTTCATAGCAAGAATTCGTTCCATTATCGAAAAGAACAACATCGGCTTCGCGGGAAATCACTTCGTTCGATGGATTCAATATTTTTTCCTTTGGTGCTTCATGCAATGTTATTGACACAAAACGTGTCGTTGCCGTTATTTTGTCACTTTGCTTCTTCAAAACTTCCACAGCACGTTCAATTTCAGCCAATGACAATGGTTCTAATGGATGACGAGATTGAGTGCATTCAGACTTTGTAGTTTCGACTTTATCGTTCGTCATTATATCTACTTTCTTCGACTATCAACCAGGCGTCTTATAAATAATAACTACTGTTTGAATACTCGAATCATCCACCTTCTGTTCTATTATTTTATCTAGCTTATGCTTCAACCCATTTGCTTTTCTTTATCAATAACGAGCCCTTGTATGTGTATTCGCAGAAAGAAAGAAAAAAAAACAATATTCTTACATTATCAGATGTAGTAAGGTATGAATGAGTCATGTTCGACAGTTGTCCTTAAACTGAAGTGATTGGCAAACGCCTTCTTTTTCTATAACCAAGTATAATTATCAAGAAAGAAAAATACAATTCGCGACTTATCTACTAATACTCTGTAATTATAGAAAAGAATAATTTCTTTTCAAGGATTACATGGCACCTGTTATGCTTCGTTTCAATTTGATTTAAAAACACACTGTATGAATTATTCGAAAAATCGCATGCGATAATTGTAACATCATATTACATTTTTCTAGTGCAAGAATCTGAAAACATTTGTGAGTTGCAATCGAAACTACGTAGAAGAGCTCGATGTACATTTTTAAGCAATGTGTGTCACAACGGCATCTCGATATCCTCGACAGGGCTAATTGTCCATATGCAGTACATTCACGGTCCCCATCACATACGAATGTTTTTCATTGAGCTATAGTTCTTGCTATTAGAATATGGTTCATCTTTACAGAACTTGGAAAACTTGTGTTTGGTCTAGGACAGCTGTCTATACTTCATCTCACACTTGAACAGATAGATGAGATAAACACATGTTGAGTTGATAATCTAGAATGAAGACTTTTATTGAGACTCTCTTCGTTATTGATGGCCTTTATCTTTTATTGTAATTGTTTATTTAGTTAATTGTATATAACTATATAAACCAGAAAATAGGAAGGTATGATGCATGTACAAGCTGTTCTGCATTTTTATTTCATATTAGTACCAAATGCAGATGTGACATTTTGCTTTCTCTATGAATCATTTCTCTGTCCACTCAACTTGAAATTTGTGAAATCATCTTTTTCGCACATGGATGGTCACGTTTCAAGTAAAAAGACGCTGCACTCTAAAGTAAATTTCTTTGTACTATTTTTCCTGAGGCTTTTACAAAAAGCATGTGAAAGTACTCGGTGTTTTGCCGTAATGCTGGTTCATATACTAACAGTGCAACTTCTGTAAAGTACAATCTAATTTGTTTGATTAAACAGATCATTGTGAGTACAGACCGTCTCAATATAGTAAACGATAAGAATATATGTGACACGTCAAACGTGTGAAGAGATAATTAATTGAATGTATAATCTCATTAGACGAGAAGCGGTAAACAAAATACTCCTGACATATCCTCTGCTTATTTTAGAATTTGTCAATACTCAAATAGGCAAATGCACTCAGTAATATTAGATAAGTCTTCTACCTACGCAACGCATATACATTTCTTTTCAATTTGATCAGAAATCTATATGAAGTGCTAGACTTTACGACAAGAAATTTATCTTCTTTGACGTCAGTGAATTATATCGTTTTTCAAATAACCAATATTGATCAAAAATCAACTTTACTTTCGATTTGCTTGCAAAATATTTTTCAAACATATTTGAAAGAAATGTAAGAAAGGAAAAACGAAAACAAACAACTTTTAAAAAATCACTACCGTGAGATTGTTATTCGAAAAAAAAATGTTTCAACTTTGCCACACAATAATAGATTGTTTTGTGTGACTAGATGCAAACAGGAGTTTATGTATGCATGTCAAGGCTGAAAGCAATTTCATTTATTTCTATCCAAAAAACGTATCCCAGTGAGATTTTCGTCCGTAGGAACTGGATAATCGCGTGCGGCGACCTATTGGTCGAGTTGGGTGCGACACCAAATGATGTTTGCCAGTTGTCGCCTGCTTCGTTCGATGTCCCGTGGTATGATGATGTTCTTTCTGCTTGTCTGACAATGTCTTGGAATTGACCAACAGTGCCAACAGATCCGAGTAACTTGGAGATTCAACAAAATAATTTCTTAATGTTTTTATATCAGACTCTCTATCATACATAGGTCGACTTTTCACTAAAAGAACACGAGAGATAATGTAGATAAAAAGTTGGGTTTTTTTTTCTTTCATACCGGATAAGACAATGGTGATAAACATTAGAGCAGTGAAAATGATTTCAGTTTTCATTTTGTAAGTTCGGAAATGGAGACAATTTAATTAGAAGCGTTCGTTTCGAATGGAATTAAGTAAAGCGGATGTGTCTATATATATATATATAGAAGAATGTGTAGTTAAGGCGAATTAAAGAAGAGAGGAAAGGATCATCTGTATATTTGATGAGAGAATGGTTTGTTTGTTACAAATCGAGAAGAAAAAGAAATAAAAATGAGAATCGTTTCTTAATGTTGATGTTGTCAAAATAATTCTTCACCTACGCGTAACCATCAAAACAAAATACGTCAAAACATCTATTCATTCTGGCAGAATTTTATTTCTCTCGAAAGAAAGAAAAGAACAGCGACTTCCGGATAAGTCGATGGATTAGTTCAAAGAAGTCAATATCAACAAACAGATGATAAATTAACAAGTGACTCAATATGGATCAAGTTCGATGCTGCTAGTTGAAATTGAATTGCTAATCGTTCGAAGGCGTTGAATCAATAGGAAAACAATGAATATTAGTGAATACAAACGACTTCTCCTTTCACGACCAAATCGTTCCATACTCAACAATGATGAAATTCCTATTCCGAACAAATTTCTTCGACATGTTTGTATTGGTGTTATTCTTGCATAGATAAACAAGCTGAAGTTCTATTGCATATTTGGTGAGGAATATATTTTTTTTGGGAATCGGTAAAAGTGAAATAAAAGAACACTGTACACATGAGATGAAAGAGAGAAAATGAAGAAGATAAATAAGATCCAATCAAAATGAGTAAACGACAAATAAAACGAAATGTGTGATTTTTTTTTCTTTTCGAATATCTTGTCTACTATGAGAAAATGAAAGCAAGAGCGAAAAAAAAACCAGAACGAATGTAGAAGAAAGACGAATACAAATACATCGACGTTACATACACACACGAATATATTAATTCATCATCATTCTGTTGCACTGTATTGTTAACATACGTGTGAACTAAATATGACTAGAACAGAATTTCAATGACGAGACAAGGAAGACAATGGGGTTGTATAAATAAGAAAAATTCTTACAGAAAAGAAAGAAAGAAAGAGAGAGAGAAGGTTCGAAGAAACATCAACAGCTTTTATCACGCATTTGTCAATGGAATCGAAAATGAGATCTTCTATGACTGCTGTTGGTCATTGCCAGCTGCCAAGTATGAGAAAACACATAGAATGGCATAACAAATACGATCAGCCTAAAATTTACAAACAGAACGTATGAATTAAAGTGGTTTTACGGATCTTTTAACAAAGCAATATATAACAAAACAAAAGGCTATTGCTGATACCTAAGCCATTGATAAGTTGATGATTAATACCATTGGATACATTGTTAGCCGCTGCTAGTTTTCGTCGTTCAACAACAATGGACACAACACGATGAAAAGCAAGTAGAATATTACTCGCCTAGACATGGACAGAGAGAAGACGCAAGCAACATGGATACAAGACAACAGTAAATACGACATTGAACGAGAAAACTTACCGTTGGAGATTTGTATTTTCTAATCAGGATTTGTTTTGTATTAGGGTCTATTGTAGGAATGAAAAGTTGCAGGTGAAAGATTTTTTTATTGATAATGTGACATACCGAATTCTTCAAGAACAAAGATATCGCCTTTTTGTGTAGTACACTTACGAATCTTTGGCAATTCGATAAATTCCTAGAAGAAAATTTGCGAACATAGTTGATCGATAATTAACTTTGATGATTTGTACTTTATCATTTTCGAATGTCAAACAGATTCCTTCAAGACAGACTTGTAAAATACCACCTTCGCCTGTATTCATATCTTTAATAGGAAATTCTCCGCCCAATTCTTGACCTGTTGTAGAAAACAATTGTTGGTAATTACTGATGGAATGGATTCTGCTTCTACGTACCTGGTAATGAACCTTTCATTCGTGATGCTGCTTTTTCCATTGCTTCTTTAATTGAAAAGTATAAATCTCGACACTGGAACAAAATTCAATTTAGAAAAGTCTCCATTTATTAGCGCTTTCTGTTTTGACTTACGCGTTTGGTGTAGAACTTATTAAGTTGTGTTTCTCCATCAGCTTTTCGCCATAAACACAGAACTTTTGTCTTTGGACAAAATGTCATATTGACTAGCTTCTCGAACCAACATCGATCATAAACTTCACCAAGGACACTTCGTAAGATAATACAATCATCCCACACTTCCATGAACAACATATCTCCTGTGTTATCTGTTCCCCAATGTACGGTGAAACTTTGCTTTTGTAAGAGTCGACTGCCAGCAGGACGTAGATCAACATCATTACCACTCTAAATACGAAGATAGGTGCTCGAAAGAAAATCTGATCGTGACTTGTATTTACTAAATAGGCGATATTGTCTAATAGTTCATTCACTTGTTGACTCATCGTTAAACCAATATGACAGCGGCCGAGAACACGACGAATCTTACGGCGGATTTCTTCTTTGCTAACACGCATCATGATCATAAAAGCAACGAGATTATAAAGCATCACCGCGAGCAGACGATCTTCGTCTAGTTCTAGACGCTTACGATCCGCGTTCGATAGCGAATAATACCTGTCACATACAGAAAGTAACATTTCATCTGCAAAATTTGTTAGTTCATTACCGTTCCATCATTTCAGCTGGTCCTTGATCGAGACCAATGATGTCACGTTCTTGGGCAACGGCATCGAGAAAAACATCTTCCCAGACTTGCATTTGATCCCATAAATGACTGCGTGTACTACCGATTAATACTTCGAAGAGATATTGTTTATCACTAACATTCATAGGAGTGTTTTCCGCTGTTTGATTCAGTGATCCGTTGCGAAATCTAAATGAGAACAACGAACAATATTAGCCCAGTAAATATCCTTTCATATTTTTACGCATCGTCAGATTTTAGTCAAGAAGATATCGTACCTGTATCCAGCGGTAAAAGAACTTTTTGCTCCGGATGTGTTCGATATTTGCTTGGTCTTTAATTTATCATCAGTCCACTGATTGGACGTACGTATGTGATGATGATTTATCTTCGATTGGCGTCGACTTGATGAACTAGAATCAGTGCCACTGTCATCATCGGTTACAATAGAATTGATACGCGGAATGTTCATGCGCGATTTCGATGTGGTCTAATAAAACATCAGTTTCAATTTGTTGACATTCAAGCACAGTCAGCTTACTTCGTTTGTGAGTGTTAATGAATCCGGTCGAACTTGATTTTCTATTATTACAGAAAGCGGTACGAATAGGAATAATGCAATGGTATGAAAGTTACCTGATTGTTTTCTGTTAGTTCCATGTGCATTGTTGACAGCTTTTGCATCTTTTCCAACATCAATATTTTGATATTCATCACCATTCATTTCAACGGGTTCTAAACAAACAGCAATGATCAGTGTACGTTAGTTCTTCACATTTCTTGCAAACAGATTCTAGGCACTGGCAGTACAAAGACGAACGACAAAGACAAGGAGCACAACATTTAGCACACTCTATGTACCGGGTGCTGGATCGATACTCATCGAACGTGTATTTGAATTTATACCAGATGTCAGTGATGGACTAACTGTTAGTGTTGAATGAAACGGTACATGGGGTGAGAACGAATGCTTAGGGTTAGTACGAAGTTCAACATTTCCTCCTGGTGTCATACTTGCGTGCGTAGCTGTTGCATAACTACGTGCAAGCGCTAGTTTGGATTCGCGCCACAAACTCCCTGAAAATGTAGCGTACAAAAAAATCCCCAGAGCAGATTCCTTTTTTACCCAGTTGAGCAACCAGACTAGTATTAGGACTTGTGGTATTGTTTTGTTGCTGTTGCTGTGGTGGCATTGTCGATGCATTCAAAGGAACATTTGGATCAATCGATGCTAAACTTTCTCGACTACCACTGAGCGGACTGTTCCGTTCAGACATTGGACTTAGATCAGTTTTGGCATCTTTAATCCAGTAATGTGTATGTGCGATTTCAAGTAATTGGAATGTGGATGCCATTCCACCCAGACCGTTGTTTTCAAACGTAACTTCCAGACCTTGTATAACAGCTCGTAAAATATTTGTCATGCCTTTGAAAACTGCTCGACTAATTTTCTACGAAAAGCAAAATACTCAATGCATTGATCTCTACGAAGGTCAGCTACTTTGTATACGTACAACATCATCGATATGATCGTCTTCGTCCGAATATTTCTTGTCGAGATTGATATTCAAACGACTGAGAACAAAGTTTCGATAGTTTTCATCTTCCATTAGTTTTTTGACTCGATTGATTTTTAACCAACCAATACCTTGTCCATCGAGAACATTCGTGACAATATCTTTTAAAAACTGTTGATTTTCACTATGAGTATTCGCCTTGGTTTCTACACTCTGTTGTCGAGCAAGCATGGAAGCATTCGATGTTGTGGCAGCATGTTTGACTAGATTGGGCTTTTCCACTTTGCGTGTTGACTTTGGAAAAGGAAAAGGTGGAGGACGATTTGCACGAGGCATCGATGTAGTTGACTGACGAGGATTCTCAGATGAGGATGCTATATGAAAGCAAAGAAATGCTATATTGTCGATTGAAAAGCAAATTCTTACAGAGTAATTCCGACATTTTATGCGTAGCCATCTTGGCCATGTTGGATACAGCTCGACCAGCAGCTGTTGAATTGATTTCTTCACCAACCTGTTGAAGTAGCGAAGCATTCGAAGGAGCTGCGTTTTCTGGATCCGTCTAGAAAGATAATTACAAAAAGTAGAGCAGAAACTTTTGACTCGTCATTTATGACATCATTATTGCTTTCCATAATTAACTCTCTCGGATATAGACCAGAAACATCATGCCCGGAGTACTAAATAAGCAGAGTGGATTAAAGACTTTAATTACTTTCTGAGCTCGTCCAGCTTTCGTTGCTATTGCACTTGTATTCGAATCATGACTATCTGCACGTGTCATTGTTACGCTAACGCGTTGGTTGACGCTTCCTTGCGTAGTCACATTCTTCGTACTATTTTCCGGAGATGATGATTGAGCAGAATTATCGCCACTTGCCAATGCTTTCGAATCAAAGAGTGGTCTGAAGAGAATCAAAAAGTATATAGCTTACTCATTTCATCGAAACGATATGCTCCTTACTTTGGAAATGTTTTCGTTACTGGTGTAATGGTTGCCGAACTTGATTTGGAATCAATATCATGTGGTGTATTCGATAGATCAGGAACAATTTCGTTCATCTCTTCGCTGGGTGAGTTAAGTCCAGAGTTGACCTGCGAATTGGTACTTGAACTAACTGTCGATTCACTGATCGAATGACTTGATTCGTTTCCGCTAGCGCCAGGACTAGGCATGTGATTCGTTGATCCGTCGGGTATGTGCAATTCTTCCGGTGGACTGTAAACTGTGGAATATTCAACACAGGCTGTTTTTTCTTGGTTTGCTGGATATATTTTGGCTACTAGAATCGCGTTTCCAAGACCAAAAGTTGTTCGAAAACAAAACTTCACTTTACCTCGAATTTCACCACATATTTCGCTGTTTCGCATTTCAGATACAAATTCACTCAACGACGAATAATCGGAGTTGCTATTGTCGTCTTCAGAATCACTTCCACTTTCGTCTAAGATTAACAAAGGAGACACATGACACATTTATGATTCTGCACATTTCATACCGGTCGGCGTATGTTCAACAGCATTTATTTTGGAGTTAAATGCGCTAACGGCGTCTCCAAGAGTGCTATTCTGTTCGATAATATTGAATGGAATCGACGTGAGATTGCGACTGTACCATTTCGGTTTATCACCAATGAGTGCGGGATCATAAACGCCCGTTTGTACGCGTAAGAACGCGACATTATCTGGACATAATGACCATTCAGCAAAAAACTCGACTGCCTATAATGATCCAATCGTTACTATGAAAAGTTCTTTCTCGCGAAATTCCTACTTGAGTTTTAGCTAAACGAATGATGAATGCTGATTTAACTGGTCGCGAGCGAACGAAACTGCTGTATTGAAAAGCGACTACCGCTCGTGGATGTAAACGTAACGTTCTCGTATGTTCATTGAAATTACCCAATATGTTTGGTGAATTGAAAAATCGTACCATCGCAACCCGTGTTGCAATATCAACAGAATCAACATCATTTCCGTAGATAAATGGATTGTAGGATGTCGATGAGAGTGGAATAGAATTTTGCGCGGTCATTAAATATGATTTATCGTTGAGCATAGCATCAAAACTTTGAACCGGTTCGGGATCAATTGACATACTACCTAACGCTTGCTTTAAATGATTGCTTAAAATGTTATACTCAAATTCTGGAATGTCGAAGAATGGCTCGGCTTGTCGAGGTTGAATGATCTGCGAGAAAAACATTTGAAATCGACCTAGAACACAAATCAACTCACTTGATTTGCATCGAGATCTACAATCCATATGTCATCGAACTGTTGTGGATTCATTCCTTTATAAGGGAAGAAACTAGCTGGCACACCAATTATAAATGGAGTTGGAATTAATAAGAGCTAAAAGAGCACGGTTTTATTCGTGGAATTGCACTCTGATTGTACACATTTACCTGTTCAGCTCCTGTCATACATGTTGGTAATAACGGAATAACAGGAAACATATATTCAAGTGGATATAATAAGGCAACAAATGCCAAAACACTCATTGTTAATGCATTATAATCACGAGATTGAAACACGACCTAAATGAATAGGAAAAACGACAACTAGCTTAACGATTTCATACATTTACGAGTCTAATGTCAATATTTTCTTAAACTTTCTGCTTATTCATATAAAGTATTCATTCTCAGGGCATTACCTTATTTTCTAGCATAATTAACGTTAGAACTCGTATACATAAGTCCACGCCTAACAATTCCAATGGTAAATGTAGCGGAAAATCAACTAATGAAAATCGCGTATGATCAGGTAGAGCAAATAACATTGGTGGCTCGTTGGGTAATGTTTCAATCTAAATATGAAGTGAACAAGTTAACTAAAAAGAGAACATATATCATTTAGATTCATACCAAAATCTTTGTCTTTCCTGGAATAGATACAGGTGCGCTTAATAATCGTAATATCCATGTTTCAATTTCGCGCACTTCGTGACCGACTAGATTAGATGTACACTCACATGCTTGACCAGTTAATACACCCCAAACAGTCTCTCTGGAAAGATAGATCACAAATTCAATTAAACAAACGTAGGAAGCGTCTTTCAGCAACTAACCTAGATGTGCCTTTAGATGCACCTGTGCGTTTTGCACACGATCTTTCATTGCAGGCATCGATAATTGCCTTCAGTGTCACCAGGCATTCACGAAAACGTGTAAAAAATGGATGATGACTGATTAGACAAATAGATGTCAATGTATTGTTTCTCAAACGCCGTTTACGTTTGCGTTCGGTCGGATCTGATTCGTCCGTTTCTTCTTTTTGATCATTTGAAACTGACGATTGTCCCTCTTCAGTAGTTGCATCCGATTTTTGCTGATTTGGATTGTGAACTGAACATGTTCGCCGGGAGAAATGTCGATAAAAGTTCACACATATTCCAAAACGTTGACGATTCGAATCTTTTTCCGTTAATGTAAACACAAATGAAGTTATTTGACGAAATGCTGTTCGTTGATGACCCGTATTTATACATCCTTCCGGTTGACAGAAGAAGATCACATCAGGCGGCAAGGCAAAATCCTTGTGATCTTCCAATGGATAGCGTCGAAGTAACTCAGGTGTTTGTGTGACATGATTATATTTATTTGGATGACGACAACCAACTATGATCACATAGTCAACAAGACGTGGGGAAAAATAACGTTTGGTTTGTTCACACATGGTGTATGATGATCACCCGATCTGAAACGAGATAAACTGTTTGTACTATTTTTTTTCTCGAAAACAAGTCAACAGAGTCGCGAGAAAGAGAGAGAAAGGGAGAGAAAAGAACGATTCGACGCTAACAGAAAATATACAGATATGTACTAGTCTCTTCGTCCTGTTCCCTACAAAAAAAAAATAACCATGATTGTAATAGTTGGCGACAGACGTCGTTGAAACGCTTGCGCATTAAAACATACAGTAACAGAAGAGAAAAAAACAATTTAATGCAATGTAAAAGAAAAGAAATTGTCAGAATGGAAAGAGAAAAAAAAAACTTAGCTCAAGAACGGAAAGAGAGGAAAAAAGGAAAATAACGATGATTCTCATTGATAATAGTAATCATATTCATCAATTAACATTAAGATAATGTTTAACGACAAATATAAAGAGGAATTTTCGCGCTAAGTAACAACAATAGCTTTGTCTCGCTCTTCAATCCTTCTGACTTATTTTCTCCTTATGAAATATTTTACATGGTTGTAATACGAGAAACAAACGGTAACTGTGTAAGTAAAGTGTATGTACACGTAAGATAAAGAATGAAATGATCTATTGAGTTTTGCGACATCTAGAATTACAAAAGATAACCATCTGGTTACGAATATCGTAGAAAAGAATCAGCATGTCTTCTGTCGAGCAGAATGATCTCTTAATAATCGTAATTCGAAATAATATCTAAATTAGTTCAAAGATGTCAAATTTGATTTTTTGTTGTCGCCGTTGTCAGTATAAATTTATATCTAAAAAAATGAGATTCTCAGTATATAACATAACTAATTATATAAAAGGATATTTATTCGAGAAAAACAAAAGATCATCATATATTACGATTCAACAGCCATAGTTTTGAAATTCCCAATCACTATTATCTAGTAGACATACATGTCGTGTTTTCAGACAACGTGAGATACAATGGAAATGAAATGCCTAATCAAGAAGAAAATCTCATGATTTGATGTAACCATCCCAGTTTAGACTCTGACGTACATGGTTGCATACTCCCCAAGCGACCGTGCTTTTATCAGTTGTCGTTGTGGCTAGATTTGCTTGACAGTCAATACAAAGATCCATGATATGATTGCACAATTGTCAACGAGAATATCCCATGCCCAGAGAATTACAGGATTCCACTTTTTGACTTCAAAACGTTTATGCTGCACAGTCGATGCGTCCGTTTCTGAAGGATTAGACGGATTGTCGACATTGTCAGTTAGTATCGACGTTGTTTCTGATGAAATCGTCGAAGTTTGATTGACCAAGTTTTGCTCTTGAGAAAACAAGAGAACTTGAGTTTCTCAGAGTGAAAGAGAGAAAAAAAACAAAAAGAAATAAACACAAACAAGAAAAAAAGATATCTATGAATTCTAATTCGTTTATTTTAAACCAATCAATGCACGCGTCGAAGAAAAGAATAGACAGGAATAAATCACCAAAAACAAGAAGACTTCTTCGTTCATTTAAATAATCTACAAAGACAACATTCCATGACAACAACTGATAAAAGACGACTTGCATTAATTACTGGTGCTAATAAAGGTATTGGCTTCCAAGTTGCGCGTCAGCTAGCAACGAAGGGTATTCACGTACTTCTTGGTTCTCGTGATGAAACTCGAGGAAATCAAGCGGTTGAGCAATTAGTCGCGGAGAATCTTCCAGTATCATTGATTCAAATTGATGTCACTGATCAATCGAGCATTGCCGCTGCAGTTGAAGAAGTGACGAACAAATATGGTTATCTCGACATTCTTATCAACAATAGCGGAGTGTACGGTAACGAACCACGACCAAGCGCACTTACATTGGACACTATTCGACAGAATTTCGAAGTCAACTTTTTCGGCGCTTTCGCAGTGACCAGAGCATTCTTACCTTTACTTCGTAAATCTTCGTCCGGTCGAATCGTGAATGTTTCCAGTGGTCTCGGTTCATTCTATTTCCACGAAACAAATCAACCGCATTATTATCATTTGGCTTATAGTGCATCGAAAGCATCGCTGAATATGCTAACCATTCAATTGGCTCAGGAGTTGGAGAAAACGAATATTAAAGTCAATTCTTGTACACCCGGTTTAACAGCAACAGATTTAACAGGTTTTAAAGGTCATTCCGTTGAAATCGGTGCAAAATCATCCGTTTTCCTAGCAACTCTACCGGATGACGGTCCATCCGGAAAGTATTTCGATGAAAATTGTCAAGAACATCCATGGTAGAGGATGGTCTTTTCATTATTTAAACAGTACAATATTTTAAACTCACATATATATTTATGATTTTCTTTTGCTTAGCACATTGACATGACGATATATTTTCTATTCTAGATGTCTGACAATCGATCGTCACGTATCGATGAATATTTACCTACTCAAGGTTTGCTCTATTTCGATGAACAATTGAAATACGTCATATCCAAACCGAAAATTATGCCGTTGAAATCGTTGACATTAGAAAAGGTACGTTTACATTAATGTTCTATGAATATTTAATCACAACAAGTCAATTTCTTTTAGTTAGAAACATTGCAAAACGAAGCACAAGACAAGTTAAAACAACAAGAAAAACTTGGCGTTGATCTTCAATGAACTGAATGATGTACAAAACAGTTGTTTTTTTGTAATAATGAATCTAAAATGTTCCTTTTTTCTCATTCCACAATAAACTAATGCGAAATTATTATTCTTCAATCATCTCCATGCATAGATGTCACTTATCGAGAAGGTCAGTTGCCATAGGAATAGACTGAACACAGTCCAATCTCGTTCAAAGTTCATCTCATGTTCAGTTGACAACAACGATGTCGAAGGGAGTTATGCATCGAAAATCAACTTTGAAAAAGTCATATGATCGTAATGTAGGATGAAATTGAATTTTCTGTTACTTTTTTTGATCTTGTCGTGATATTTTAGTCAATACATGTTGATCGAATAAGTGATGATGAACTGGTAATTGTTCAGTGAAAGGTATTTCTTTAAGAAAGATGTTTTTCTCCTAGAATCGACGACGATTATGTTATCAATTGATTGACAAAGAGAAGCAACGAAACTTCGCAATGAATGATTGTGAAAATAGTAGAAGTCAATTAGAAATGTTACGAGACATACTTTTAAAAAATCAAAATGTAAGTGAAATCAATTGAGATTCGTTCATGACTATTCGAATTTAGATTAATGATTTAATACAGAAATCCAATGGTTCAGATAGAACGATATCGAAAAATCATCTTGTAAGATCGAATAAATTACGTGAATTGAGATTGTTAGGATTGCATTTCTAGAAATACGATGGTAAGACTTCTTCCGTCCAAAAGATAAGGTAAGTAAATGAATTACGAACCATCTAAACTTAAATTAAAAATATCGTACTTAGACCCGCATCGGCGAAAAACTACACGTTCATCAACCACGATCAAACGGAAGGTTTGTAGAAGACATTTTTCGTCAATCGATAGTTCTATACTTTGAATAAATCTAGAAAATCTATCAACAAACTCTACAGAAGAAGAACCAATAGGACATCAATCTTTTCGTTATGCTCGTTCGCATGAAAGAAATGATCAAAAACATCCGATAATACGTTCACATAGCCATTATTCAGATACGAATGACGTTCGAACGATATCTAAGGTTTCATTCAATGCTCATACAGAGAAATCCAATGATCATGAATCGAATATGAATACATCATCGATTCAATTAAGAAAAGTAAACCATACTTATTGAAATCTAGATGAAAGGCATAATTTCCTTTCAGTTACTGGATCGTCTAACGATCGAATTAAACGATTTAGAATCGATGACAGGTTATAAACCAACTCGTAACGATCTATCATCAAATACATGTAGTTTTGCACTAGCTACCGCACTTCTCACACTTGCGGGCCATGTTAAACAAGTACATACATATCTTGAATCGTATTCTATTTCGAATAATTATTTTCTTACAGTGTACTCCGACTTCGAAAGGAAAACAAGAACTTAATACACTCAAAGATCAACTTTCGCTTGTTATTAAAACACAACTAGATTTCCAACAAAAGATTGAGAATCAAATGACAACATTACAAACAATGATGCAAACGCTTTGTCAATTGGTCAATCACGAAATTATATCCAATAAAAAACGTAAGAGCTCATTCTTTCCTACGACCGAAAACATCTTCGAGCATCTCTCAGCTTGCGGTTTTCATCATGATCGAAATCAACTCGACGGTCAATCGTGTCAGAATTGGACGAACAACATACAAAAACCGTACATCGCACCTAAAGAACCAAACAATGGAATAGAAGAGCTACTTGCTCTGGCTCAACAAATGACTAATGGTAAAAGTGTTCATTCGAAATTACGTTGTGCAATTGAGTTCATTTCAGACACCAATCTTCATTCAGTTCATAACGAAACGAATGCGCCGAAACAACGTTCGACTGTTACCACTCCAGTCGAACCTCCAACATCGTACAATGTTTTCGCATCAGGTCTTCTTTCTCAGAATTCATCGATAAACGCACTTCGCAACGAACCGGATGGTTCGAATACAGTTCCACAACATTCGAAGGTTTAAAGAATCGCGCATTTGATCATCAAGTTTCATCCGTTTTTGCTTTTAGAACGAAGCATTACTGACCAAGATTCTTCATGAACGTCTTCGCTTAGCTCAACAAATGACAGAACTGAATAAACAACACAATACAACACAAGAAGAGTTAGCTGAACTCGAAGCGAAAACACGACAACCATGTACAAACGAAACCAATGGATAACTTCGTACGCTACGAGACTTTGTGAATTTTGCAGTAGTATTTTGTATAATAATCATTGTTTGACAATATCTTAGAACGTAGTTTTGTTCATTACAGTGAAGAATAGAAACTTCTCTATGTAAATTACCACCGAATGTTTTGAATGACAGAATAAAAGTAAAATCCTCGCCGAACTCCTTCTGGCTGAATAATCCATCATTC